GCTGAGAGATACTGCGTCTGCCTCAGGAGAAGCGCGAGAGATTCGACGTTTGTACAAGTCTTTGGTGAATCAGATACTCATATGTTTGTTAAGGAAATAGCCTAGTCTCTATCATTTTGATATGTTCCTCGTCATTCTGTACTTCCCCAGCATCTCTGATTTCTTGAATAAGTGACACCTCTTCAAATAACTATAATAGCAAAATATTAAAAGCAAAATAGTTGATAGGGATCATTTTAACCAACAATCGAAAATAAGATTTTGCGGAGTAAAACTTGAAAGCACTTTCCATGAAACGAAAAAAAGATCGTATGGATCGCATGAATATTTGAGTATTATTTAGTTTTCATTGACAGATCGACATTTGAAACATCTTCTATTTCAATATCAGGAATTTCTTAAATTACGTTACTGTATAAAATGTAATTCCTCTATTAAAAACAATTTTCAAATTTTCGCTAATTCCTTTCTTTGCAAAACCTCGTTTCTTATGCGCTCTCTTTCAGAGAAGCTCAGAGAAACAGTGATATAAATGAGACATTGCACTTTTTGTAGAACAACATTAAATACTTGTCAGTTTAGAAATTCTGTTGTTTTTATTTATCATTCTGCTATCTGTTGTACAATGTTTGCAGAATTCTATCAAATACACCATGGCCATCACTACTACAAACGAAAACTGGTTCGATATCAATTACATGGAACAGAGTGCCTACTACACACACTTCATCCCTTTACTCAATAACAAACAGGTAGTCAGCTATTGCGAGAAACAACTTTTTCGTTCTCTGTCGTACATTGGTCTTTCCAAATCACTCTGTGAATCACTAATCCTTAATCTAGACAATCTGCAGTTCGATACGTTCCACCAGAAGTTCGATGCGGAACTCGATGATATATTAAACGGAAAATTTATTCAAGTTGAAGTTGCCAAATATTTTACCGAAGAAGTTATTCCCAGCATTCCCTTTTCAAAGTTGGTCCTGGATATTGGGTGCGGAAGAGGTACTCTCGTTAAACAATTGGCAAATAGCCACAGATTCGACAAAGTTATGGGATGCGAATGGAATAGCCGCCCTGAATGGAAAGATGTCATACAACTGTACAGTGACGAGGTTGAATTTTATGTTGTCAGAGACAATGCATTTTCTTCCTTCGTGCAGACATATAAGCCCGATGCATTTGTTTTTACTTGGGTGTTGCATCATATGGAAGTGTCTACTCAGCATAAATATATCAAAAATCTGTTTGATATCATGAGCCCAGGAGCCCGACTCGTCATTCTTGAAGAAGGTGTCTCTATAGTTCTATCACCAGAAATCGGACAGAATGAACATGATGAATTCATGAAATTCCCTCAACAAGAAAGACAAGATGTGCTGACCACTTATGATTGGGTCGCAAATATCTTCCTTCAAAGAAAAGCCATGCCAATACCTTGAAGTAATCGTACAATGGAAGAATGGGAAAGTTTCTTTAGTGAAATCGGATTTAATATTCTGTCAAAGCGATACATTGGATGGCCAGTAAGAGATCTCATTAATCCTCAAATATTATTCGTTCTCGAGAAGCCCAGCATCGATGACTGACAAGCAGCAGTTCAAGCAATGAAACTCAAACCGTCTAGTTTCATCGAAAAGTACAAACGAGCAATAGTTTTCTTTTTGATTTCTCTTCATTTGTAGACTGCAACCAAGTATCCATAAATATATTCCAAAAGTATTTATTTTTGTATATGCTAATTAGTCTTTCGAAACAATAAAACAGTATACACTCGCTTCAACACTCACTTTTGCTAGTACCACTTCTCTGCTCTTCCTAACACCCGAAAATACTCATATGAATGGTTGCGCAAGCAATCGATCGATATTTTCTGCTTTATATGATCAGTGACACTAAAGGAAGGCTTTCTATTGAAAATAAAAATTCTACTCGCGTATTAACAGAAATAATGTTTTAAAGTTTTAGCATAACATGTTTCTGTTTCAAACCTTATTTTTCTGCGTTCAAAAGTGGTTCTGCCCTGCTAAAAAACAGCTCATACAACACACTGCTTTCGATCGTTCTTATAACATTGATTTATGTACCTTATCGATACTATATTATGTTATCAATATTTTATGTATATATTCATTTCAAAAAGTGCAGATGTGTATATGCCGGAACCTAAAAGAATTTAGAGAAGATAGAGATCAAATCTCGCTAAATAAACGAGGACAAAGAAAGATGACAGAATCTAAGGAGGTCAATAGAAAGAAAAACAAATAGAAACGAGAGGGAAATTCGAGAGATATACAGTTCTGGTCAAAAGTCCCTCACTCCTTCCACTGAACTTGATCAATATTTCAAGCTTTTCGTTTGAGATTTTAGCCCCATGTGTGTACTGGCAAATGCTGATCATAGACATCAATCCGACGTTATTTCAACGTAATATAGCAGATTTATACACCAGATACTATCGTTATCTTGCATTGGTTATATCTTAGTTATACAACCAGTTTGGAGATCGAAGAACCCAGCATTAAAGCAGTTTAGTCTTCGGCTTTCTTGAGTAAAATTTGCGTTAGAAAAGTTTTTCGAATTGGTAAGATATCAGCCGGTTAATGAATATCGGCCGAATTAAAACTATGATGATTTTCATTTCGTAACAATAAAAATCACCTTTACATTAACAAATTCACTTGAAAATAGCTTGTACTAAGCTTGAAATATGACAATATAACGATATCGTCACTGCATATGTCGCTAAACATGTATATCTCAATTAATTGCGTTGTTCTTTCTACCAAGCATTTTGCATATTATGAACTATATGTATCACTAGGAAAAACTCCTATAAATCGTTTAGATATAGAATCATATCAATATTTTCCATATCCAATAAATGGCACAGATAACCATATAAATTAAAAGGAAAATATTTTCAATTACGCTTTTTCATCATCTTGATTAAATGTAACAGGGGTAGTTTTAGAATCAACGCTTGTCATTAACCACAAGCATTGGTAATATCAATACGACTCCACAGAATCACTATAAGAATGAATACTTTATATATATATTATAAAATTTCTTCTATTAAACTGGATGATTCCGTATAATTTGAACATTAGCGAGATTAGATATGTACGAAGGATAATCTGTATAAGCAGCAACTGTAAGATTTGATATAGAAAAAAATTGATATTATTCTATATCTAAATGATTTATAGGAGATTTTTCTAGGGATGCGTGTAGCTTCTACTGTGTGCAATGTTCGGTAGAAAGAACACCTCAATTCGTAGAAATGTACATGTTTGACAACACATCCAGCCATAGTATCATTATATCGTTATATTTCGAATTTAGTAAAAGCCATTTTCGAGTGAATTCGTTAATGGAAAGATGGCTTTCATTATTACGACATGAAAATCATCATAACTGTGATTCAGTCGATACTCATTAATCGATTGATATCTTACTAACCCAATGAACTTTTCTAACGCAAATTCTACCCAAGAAAGCCAAAGACTGAACTATTAGAATGCTGAGCCTTTCGATCTCCAAACTGGCTGTGTGACTAAGATACAACCAATGCAAGATAACAATAGTATCTGATGTATAACTCTGCTCTGTTATGTTGAACTAGTGTGGGCGGATGTGGATAGTTGTAGATCAATAGATATCACAAAACTACACCACTCACACCCTCCTTTGTTTATCTTATGTCTCAGTCTAGTCTTGAGACGAGTATTTATAGCTTATCCGTCAAACACCGTTTGCTCAATACAGTGGAATTGGCATGGAAACAATTGAAGCAATATGTACGAGAAAACAATATCCATTTTCGTCTTAGCGACGTTCGAGAGTTATCAGTAAAATGGATCTTAGACTAAAAAGCAGATATGGTTACAAATCGCCTCAATCATGTATACAATATTGAGGAAACGTTTAAGAAATCTGATGCTTTTCTGGAACAACTCCAAGACGAATTGGTAGCTGATGATGAAGAAGAAGAATTGGATTGCGAGGTCGAAGAAATAACTACTTGATAAACAACATCTACTTCTCTTTTGTTGTTTCATGTTACCAAGTATTGAATTAGAAAAATAACTGTATATCTAATCAAACATACTAAACAGATATTTATCTTATAGAAATGTATTGTGTCATTATACGTTGCCACTAGAATACATGGTTGGTGCTGTAATGTGATTATTACTACTTTTACATAACAAAGAATGATTTCATTACAATACGAACACTTTCGTTCTATTCAGAATAGTCAAAAACCTAACTATTTATTAATGGATACAGATTTATTCAAACTTGAAAAGTTTTAAAGAAGTTGCTTCAAGCATTCTTCACGATCAATGTTGAGTGTATATGTTTTGAATACTAAAAAATAAAAACCTCGGGATTACATTAAGTTATAGATCTTGAGTAGGGGAATCTAACATAATCTTTATAATTGAAATTCTATATATTTCTCATAAGACTTTAATTTCTTCTCTGAATTTCTCTGACTGCTGATCAAATTTACAAGTTGGTTTTGTTAACTAGTATATGAAAGATACAGAAGGTCAGCCTCTTTTTAATAATGAAAACCGCACACCGATAGCTCTTTTCGTTGAATAATTATTTGAAAAACAACCATCCGCCTTGTATTTTGAAATAGACATTAGTTGGTCTTTTTACTATAGCATGCACAACTTAAGAATATTGAAATCGAAAGGAATAGTATGAAAAATTATTGTATTTTTTATTTCATTAATTTTATATATACCAATTTGAAGTACTGTTTATTAATCGGAAACGATATTTTATCTAAAATTTAGAAATTGAAATTCAATTCATTATCATTTGTGTATCTAGACACATACTACCTTATATGAAAAATGAGCAGTTGAAAATGCAATGTCGTTGCTGTGTTCGTTAAATAGAGTTATCCATTCAAGCAGTGGAAATGGCTGATGAATTGAAATAAAATAATGCGTCTTCTGAATACATCATTTCTATTTTTATTTAACTTCAGCATTTTCCTTGTTTTTATACAATTTTATTCCATTTTGTAGATATTCTATATAAAAGAAAACATTAAAGAGTTTTATTTCAGAGAAGTGATTTACTCAATATTTCATATTGTTTTGTCTCATTATTATACACGGCTCGTGAACCCCAAAATCGAACTGTTTCATAAATTAATTCTCCACCAAATTCATTCAATAACCAATCTTGATTGTATGTAGCTGAAATATATTGTCTGGCAGCAAACGCAATATCACCCGTAATATGAATTTCATACAGACGACCTTCAGGACAACAAGCTGGTGTTACATCAACACTAGTTCGAGCACTTTCCCAAGGAAATCTTATTCACAACAATCCTATTATAAGAAGAAAAAAAGAACACATATAACTTAGCTGATACCTCCATCCTTCGTAACCAAATAGACGAGCATTATAGGATGCAGAATCACGTAGACCGATTCGATACGATAATATTTCTTTGGCCAATCTAACATAAGAAAATCTTTATCAATCAATAGAATTCTTATTCTTTTTCTCATGTCGGATAGAAAAGAAAAACTGATGGAAACATCCATGTTTCTGTATCCCAAAATGAATGACCTCTATAATCTTCACCTGAACGACCACCTTGTGAAAGAGTACCAGGACTTAAACCATAAAATTGTTTTCGTTCACTTTTCGTTGATAAGGGTGGTAGAGAACTTAAAATATAATAAAAAGCAGAATTGATTTGTCTTTGTAATTCATCATCTCCTTCTATATCAATATGTCCATTAGAGTATACATCATTCCATCGAGATATATCTGATGATAATATAACATCTGCTTGTTGTTCAATTGTTGCTATTGAATATAATCAATATTTTATCTATTCGAAAACTATTGATAAATAATTTACCATAATCAAAACTTTGTTTAGCTATTGTTTGGTTATTATCAATTGAAGTTACAAAAAGATATGTTCGATTTGTTTCTTCTTTATCAAGTTCTAATACTTTAGTGGTTAGTGGTGTATAATAAACAAATAGAGATAATGCCTCTTTTTGAAATTGATTATTTTCAATTTCACGTGTTTTGCCAAATAAAAGACTTTAATACGAAAAACGAAAAAACAAAAATAAAAATTAGATTAAATCTTATTGACACGTATTGAGAATTACGAGTTACAACGGTAAAATTAATATCAATACTCGTTATCTGTTCATGTACCTTAACAGGTACAATAATTTTTCGTCCTATAGCAATATATTAAACAAAAAAAATGAATATTGAAAATCTAACCTTTAGGAGCTTTTCGAATTAGCACGGCATGAATAATCAATAATTCAGTATATTCTTGTGAAGCAAAGAAACGTCGTTCAATTCGAACTTCATGATTTTCAAGAGTTTCAATGAATATACCTACAAATATAATTAAATAAAAACGATGAAGAAAAAGTCTTTTTTTACCTGATGAAACATTTAAAGTATATAATGATGATCTTGGTCTTAATTTAAATTTCCAATTCACTGTACTTGGAATACGTGCCCTATGGCTAGTACCTTTAGATCAAAAATAAAAACCAAGAAACGAAAATAAAAAACAATATACAAACCATTTTCACCATTATAAAGTCCATTCATATAAATAAAATCACTGTATACAACGGTAGCTACGTGACCATTACCAATATAGAGTACAAGTCGAAAATCAAGCAAAGGACCAATCCTTGGTAATCTAAATTTCAATCGATTATATTTAAATATTTATTTCAAAATTGAAATACTTTACTTATTAGTATTAAAAGTTGTTCTCGAATTAGATTCTTCAATAGATACTGTTCTTACAAGAATAAAGATTGATGGAATAATCAATAGGAAAAACAACATAATTATCAAATATATAGATAATCGTATTTGAATGATTTTTTTAAATAGACTTCTGTTTATCACGTCTATCGAAGCTTGTAATATGAAGATAGAAAAATGAAAAGAAACGCCAAAAAAAAATGATAAACATAAAAGATAGAAGATGATAATAATAGCAAAGTTAAATATTAAAAATTGAAAAATTATGAAAAAGTTGGACTAATTCAGTATCACATATATTTTATAGTCACATTTTTCTGTGAGACGAATCTAAAGCATGTTTAGAATAATTCAGTCATATACAATTATGTATGATGAGCTCTGGATTTAAAGACCTAGACTCATCTCCACAGCAGAAATTGCACGGAGAATCTTATGTGATTTAAGCAAATAGCAACGTCTATAACGCTTCTTTCAATAACTGACTATGACGAATTGATTTTTTCTATCCTTGAGTAATTTGCTTTAAAAATGATATGCCATTCGCTTAACTCTCTAATAGTAGAGAAACTCTAGGCTGCCTTGAAAGAAACTTTTATTATCATAAAATAAAACTAGAATTAATGATAACCAGTAATAAATGATTTAAATCAACTAAACTCATTTTTGACTCGTTATATACATCATTTAAACTCAGCAATTTTAATTCAGGAATATTCTTTACAACTTTAACATGAAATAATAGATGATATTTTTACTTGGCTAATAGTTAAAAATTTTGTGAAACTCACGTATGCTTTCGAAGAAAATAGTAAATGTGGATGTGTCCAACGGTGTATAGAATATCTACAACTAGACTCACACCCCACATCGATATTTATACTATTTTCTTTTTATTGAATTGAATTCTCTTGAATCTAATCAGAAAACTGCTTAAAAATATTAATAGTAAAATCATTGTAGAGTGAACTCAATGCAGTTCCAGGAGGTCTAAGCCCACTCCAACTCATTCCTGACGCTACCACTACATATGCTATCTCAGTGATGACGTCACTAATAATGATTTATGTTTGAATTGGTTACTGTTTTTTTTTAAGATTTCTATTTACAATTACGTTTTTGGAGAAAAAAAAGATACACTGTTTAACAGAGAACTATTTTCTGTAACGATTAGTTTTTGTTTCAATTTGAACATCTTTAATATTATGAGAAGGTGCCACATAAAGTGCATTTGATATTGATTTGCGTAACTCACTATGCTTGTTTATTCTATCTGCATACTAATAGGAACACATATTTCTCACTAGCTTCAATGGATAATAGTCATATCAGACAACTGTTTTTAGGACAGGTTCATATTCTTATTCACAATTATCCTTTGAAAATCGAAAGAAAAAAGTTGAAAGTATGAGTGAAAATAAATTCCACACCCTATTTTTGCGTTTTTATTTTACAGTTCTTTTGAGTTTTCTCTAGGACAGTTGAGAAATCAGGTGTTCGTCGAATAGATCTCATCGAAATTCTACTTGAAGAGTTCTTTCGAGCGAATCCTCAAAGAAAAACATTGAATCCTGATCCAAAATATGCTATGTTATCATTCTTCACATATTTAATAACATCGAAATAAAATTAGATCTTTTCTTCAAGAGATTAGTTTTCTGCAAGTAAAATTTATCCTAACATTTCAGACTTTTGAACATTTTTTTTTTCATTTTAATTATCAAAAGATTTAATGATTTTATTAATTTGAGCTTGTTTGATAATGAAATTTTTTAAATAAATTAATATTCTTAAATAATAATCTTCGAAGTTTTAACTATTTATATAGAGAAATTCTTAATGAGGAATATGATGACATAAATCATCTTTTATTTTGATAATCTATATCACAATTTTAAAATAAAAGATAATAATATAATATTTAGTTATTTACTGAATAAATTAGTTTTCGAATTCAACAAGAATATACTTATAATACAAATAATGTAACATACAAATAGACAACAACAATTTTTCTTTAGAAAATAAAAAAATAGTTAACTAAATATTGAATATTGATTCGAAGAGAAACAACATCAAATCAATAAAAATAAACTTGACAAAAAGAAATTCAAAGTTTGTTTATATATTTATAGAAGTGAATATAATTATAATCTAGTGATATAAAGTATGTTTTAAATCTATCTGCTAGCTATCGGTTTTATATTTCTAATAGTGGTTATACAATAGGGTTGAATTTGATTGCTTGTCAATTGATTTGATCTTCGACATAAAAATAAAATTTTTGCTTCTTCTCGGAATGATAATGATGAAGTAAAAAAAACAAAAAAAGGACATGCAAATGTTATATAAAATAAAATTGTAAGAATATTTGTAATCAAAAGTTCAGTAGCTCTTCGATCATCAGATTTACTTAGTTTTACAGTTAATATTGTATATTCTGTATATATAACATATGGTAATGTTGATAGAATTATTATTGGTATTTGTATAAGCATCATTGATGTTAATTGTTTTTGAAATGATTCTCGTTGACGACCTATCTGTAATCTATTTGCATTTCTATACGTCATTAAACCTGTTATTATTAGAATTGTACTTGGCAATAAACCACAACACACTGGAAATACAAAATAATTTTGAGATATAGAAAAAGCATCATATCGTGCAAGATTGCATATTGTTAAACCTGTTGTTGGATTTTTTACTAAGTCAACATAAAATGAATAAGGAATACAAATTAATACACAAGAAATAATTGTTATTATAACAGATACTATAGCTATTGATAATCGACTTAGTCTTCTATATTTTTCTTGACGACAACTAACAAAAAACCGATCAATACTTGCTAAACAAATACATGTTATTGAAATTAAAAAACCGGATTGAGTTAAAACAGCACGAGTTTTACACCAAGTTCTATTTGTTGTTGACCAATCAAGATGAAAACCAGTACTTAAGATTCTTGTAAATAAACCATAAAACAAAACAATACAATTAATCAATGATGATATTATAAGTATAAATGCACAAGGATTATGACGATTTCGCCAAAGAAGATGAACATTAACGATATTTCCCAATGTACCACTTAGAAATATTGGAAAACCAACATATATTGTTATTGAACTTATTATTGTGTTTGTTGAAGACATTTTTTTTTCTTGTGTATTAATTTGTATTCCTTATTTATTTTATGTTGACTTAGTAAAAAAT